CTTTATGCTGCTGATGCTGACATCCCTGCTGGGGTGCTGCCCCAGGTGGGGAATCTGGCTGCCAGGTTTGTATCGTGATGGCGTTTTGGATCTCCTCATGCTTTCAGCCACACAGACCTCAACCTGATACCTTCCGTTGCAGTTTTGGTGTCTTACAAATTCCATAGTCCTCTGCTTACATCTTAAATGAAATTTGAACTTAAGAACATCTTACACTCATCTTTTCCATGAGTCTCTCTTCAGGTTGTATCTGTGTGAGATTTTCTCTGTTCAGTATACATCTAGCAGGCTCTTGCCAAGAGTTTTGTCTCAGGATCTGTATTGACAGCTGATGTTGGCGATGATGACCATATCTTCTATACGTGATTCTCAAAGCATTGCACTAGCGATGCACTTAGATTCTGCAAGTGCTGTTCAGATGACTGGATGCACAGACTGCTAAGGTGTTACGTCAGCCACACTCTGGGTCGTGATTCTAGGCATGCGCTAAGTAAAGAGCTTGAAATAAGAGCAGTTGCTGAGATACAGGGGGAAAATGGTTGGATCTTGCCAAAATGTATGCAGAGAGGTGCCCTGTCACACCAAAAAGCCATGAAGCTTGCAGATGGCAGACATTATCCAGCCTTAGCCATTCCATGGGGCTCTCACCAGTGCAAACGGCAAAGGGCTTTTAGTCTAGTCATATAGCTGTTTAGTCTCAGACGTAAAAAAGGAAGAGTGAGCCTGATGCTTTCATGTGACACCGGGAAATGGGAATTACGAATTTTAGGAGTATGCTGGATCTTGTACATCTTAGGAAACCAGCATCCTCATGCGAGTTCTTTACAAGGCTCACAAGAGTAATCAGGCAGCCAAATGGTGAAGAAATACTGGAGGAGGAAAACACTCACAGTACTATTATGTCCTTGCAGGTTTGGTGTGAGGGAACTGATGGAAGAGTGTGAAAACAACACTGGAGAGAGTCAGGGGTCTTCTGGAGTGGATTCAGAAGATGATCTTATCTCTGTGAGGGATGACAAAGATTGTGAGGACAGAGCTGAGAACTTCCAAGACCTCTTGAAGTCAGTGTGGGTGGGTGAAGATGAGGAAGAAGTAGCTATGCTGAACCCTGAATGCCAGAAGGAAGATGACAATGGGGTGGGTGAACAGGAGCTGGAGGAAATCTATGAGTTTGCTGCAACTCAGAGGAAGATGGTTCAAGGTGAAACGGAGGTGAGCGAGGGAACAGACTGCAGCATCTGCAGTGATACTGAGGCAGACCAGGGTACAAACCAGCAAACTGAGGAGGAAGAAGTAAAGAGATGTGAATCTGCTTCAATAAGCAACAGCTTCAAAGATTTGAAGGATGACAATGATGTGGAAAAATCCAAATGTGACTCGTCCTTCAAAGATTTGAAGGATGACAATGATGTGGACTCGTCTGCACAAGAAGAGAAAATGCAGAATATAAATAGGTGCAGGAGCATGAATGATCCACAGACCACTTTTGTGCCTCACCACAGTGAAGCTCAAAAATGGGACGTAGCATCCCATGGTGCCACCGCTAATGAAGGAGAGACCATTAGGAGATGTGAATGTGTGAAGGATTCCAGGTCATCTCAGGTCTCACATGACGAGGCAGATCCCTGTGAAAAACAGTTTCCTAGCTCCCACGATGATACTAATATACATGAAAGTTACGAACGCTTGTTTTCTGCAACTCAGGGAGATTACTGGGAGCCTTCCCCAGTGAAGGAAGTTATCAAAGGAAATGCTCCTAGTGAAAAAGATGTCGATGTTAATGATTCACTTCTGTACAGCAAATCACAAAAAGACCTCTCTCCACGTAAGAACGGTTTTTATGGGAGTCCTCTTCCCAAACCTTTTGTGCCCCTTTTTCCTGCTTTTGGCTCTTCACCTGCCTCTCCAAAATCAGACAGAAAGCTTGCCGAAGAACACGTGTCAACACCAAAGCGAAACAAAAAGGAAAAATCATTCCCATCTGATGAAATATACTTTCAGAAGGCCAACGAGCTGGATACTACATCAAGAAATGAGAACACAGTTTCTCCCGCAGAGCTTCCCCACATTGATTTAAACAAGCACACATATGTCCCAGTGTTGTCATCACCAGTCATCAGAACTCAGGATGCTGCAGCTCAGGGGAACAAGGAGGGTGATGTTATTGTTTTATCTTCTGATGATGAAATGGAGTTACAACAAGACAAGAAGTCTCCAGAGTCAGGCTCTGCTCTGAAGACGATGGAAATCCCTGGGCAACTGAAATGTACAAACGTAGAACAAAGTTCTGAGATACCGAAATCTGAACCTGAATCAATCACTGAAACAGAGCAGAGATCAACCCAGGTCTCATGCGGCATTACAGGTACAGTCGATAGAAGTAATGATGTGAAGATGTCCACCGAACTGCCTCTCAGCAGACAAAGAGATGCTTGTATGGGGAGCAAACAAAGTCCAAACCTGAGCCCTGAAAAAAGGCTCAGGCATGAAATGTCTTTAGGTACAGACAGCTCCTGGCTAGTGCCAGACACACCGGTTCTGAGCAAAAGCAGAAGTTTCTCAACACAGACTCAGATCACAAGTATTAATTCTTTAAAGAGTCCAGGATCTAAACTCAGCACAAAGAACTTGGCAGCAGGCAACAGTAACCATGAAGGGGCTGGAAATTTATTAAAAGTTCATGAAGCCACATTTGCAGACAAACATTTGCCTATGGAGACCTCAGTCAGTGAAAGGAGCTCTTCGAGCAGCCCAGCAGCAGGATTGTTTTCCAAGAACTCCCCACCAGTTTCTCCAGTGGATCCAGTTCTCCTCTCCCCTGGCTGCACCAACGTAAAAAGCAAGTGTGCCAAGATGTCGTTTTTATCCCAACCTGTGCCTCCATGCCGTGAGCAGCCATTGGAAGATAAAGCAAATGTCAGTGTGGTGGAGGTAGAGGACAGTGAAAAGGAAATAAGCCTGCCTTCTGTGAGCAGTAGCGTCTTGCTTTGTGACGAGCCCCCAGTCCCCGTGGATGACTGCTGGCGTGTTGAATACCTGTCACCAGTCAGAGGTAACAGCCAGGACTCCAGCCAGGTCAGCCGTGCAAAGACCAGCACTGCCAGCAGCCCCAAACCAGACTCTTGGCACGATCAGTGGCAGAGCCCAGACCACGTGCAGGAAATTAAGGACAGTACCCCTCTTCGAGGAAGTCCTGTTGGCAGAAGAACAACTTTGCTGTGTCTTGACAAGAGTCCTATTGAGGCATGTTCATCAGTGGGCAGTAGGCCAAGTTATCTGAACTCCAAAATCTGGGATGATTGGAATGGAGAAGAGGAGGAAGATGAATTTCCAGAGATGCTTCCTCTGTCTCAGAGGTTGTCAGCTGCAGCAGGTGCCTGTCAGACAGATCCTGTGAGGACTCCTGGTGAGTGCTTTTATTGACACCAGACTCATGGAACTGGGTTGAATTATTTTCATTTTAAGTGGGTCATCTTACCTGTTCCCTTGATACATTGGAAGTGTCTTTTGGCCTTCTGATCTGAAGTAGTTGTCGGGGCCAGGCACAAAGAGGGTACAGTCATCCTCTGATGTGGAAGAGGGCACACCTAAACGTGGCATTCCTGGAGCACAGCCACTTGTGTTTCATTCCCACTGGTTCTTTGATAGTGATGGTTCTCAGAGAACCAAAACAGAAAAAAACAACCTTCGACCTGCATGCCAGTGGATATTTGTTCCCAGTGGTAGTGGCTGCTCTGTGCAGTCTTTTGCTTTTCACGCATTTGTGAAGTGCTTAGCACAGAATGTTAGGGATTGGAAGGGATCTCAAAGGATTATCTAGTCCAATCCCCCTGCTGGAGCAGGACCACCTAGATCACATCGCACAAGAATGTGTCCAGGCGGGTTTGGAACATCTCCAGGGAAGGAGACTCCACAACCTTACTGGGCAACCTGTTCCAGTGTTCTGTTCCTTACTGGGAAGAAGTTCTTCCTCATGTTTAAGCAGAACCTCCTATGTTCCAGCTTATATCCATTTCCCCTTGTCCTATCATTGGATGCCACTGAGAAGAGCCTGGCTCCATCCTCATGGCAGTCACCCTTTCCATATTTATAAACATTAATGAGGTGCCCCCTCAGTCTCCTCTTCTCCAAGCTAAAGAGCCCCAGCTCCCTCAGCCTTTCCTCACAAGGGAGATGCTCCACTCCCTTCATCATCTTTGTGGCCCTGCACTGGACTCTCTCCAGCAGTTCCTTGTCCTTCTTGAACTGAGGGGCCCGGAACTGGGCACAATATTCCAGATGTGGCCTCACCAGGGCAGAGTAGAGGGGGAGGAGAACCTCTCTCGACCTACTCACCACACCCTTTATGCTAACGTACATGAGGACATCAGGTAGGCACCGCAGTGGCACAGGCGCAGAGGGTTTCCTTGTGCTGAGGCTGGCTGGGTGGTGCCTGTCCCTGCCCGTGCCTACGCTTCACGTGTGCTTTCCTGCAAAACTCTGCTGATGCACTGCTGCCTTGTGCTGCCTTCTGTTGGCTACTTCTGGGCCCTTGCAACAGACCTCTGCATGCCCAGCACATAGCCTTGCATGGTTCCTCCCATCTAAGACCAGTAATTGATCTCGTATCTAATTAAATATATTATTAATTATTAGTTTAACGAGTGTTTAGAACATGATGTGTGAGGCTGACTGTACTTCACAGTCTTGGTAAATTGGGGTCACTGAATCAGTATCTAACTCAGGACCCCAGAAGCATGACTTGCTCAGTTTCTTCTGCATCAAGTCCCTATTATGAAATTCCCTTCTTGGGAGAAGAACCACTTTACAGAATTCAGTAAACATGTTTTTTTAACTGCCTCGTAAACATCACCTGTTCTAACAAAGCCCTGAGTGGGCTTTGAATTCATCAGATGTGACATACATTTTACTTTAAATCAGAAGACAGCTTAAATTCAATAAAACCCAAGTATCCCAGTTTAGGAAAAAAAAAAGTGTTGACTGTTCTGTCCAATATGAAGCTGAGTAATAATTAAAATAGCTTGTAGACAAGTAGTGCTACTGAATTATTACGTAATATTGGAGTATCTGCCACTAAGTGAGGAAGATACCAGCCATTTTAAGTCCTTCTATACTAATTCTGATGATGGAAATTTCATTCTGCTGCAGAACCTTCCTGTCAGGAGAACAACGAGCCTCCCAGCACTCCAATGACACCCATGCCAGCTTACTCCATCATGGAGACCCCACAGCTGAAGAAGGAGTTGAGCAGGTTAGCGTTACCTCCACAAGTACATCTCTTTATGAGCAGAAACTTCCTGGCAGGTCGTGTGAAAGACAGCTCCTGGGCTGAAAGTGAAACCATGGTGAAGCTCCAGTCCGTGTTTTTTGAGGTCGTGTCACACTTTTCCAGCTGACCATGGGACTTCCTGGCCCGAGCCCCTTCCTGACCTGTGACAGGGGAAGGTGCGGCATTATCGTAACCTAAACTCCCACCTTTCTCTTTCAGATTTGGAGTTCGTGCTCTCCCGAAACGCCAGATGGTGTTGAAACTGAAGGAGATATTCCAGTATACTCACCAGGACATGGACTCTGACTTTGAGGAAATCCCATCTTCCCAGCCTCCCCTGCAGAAGTCCTCAGCCAAACACTCCAGGCAGTCAAAGGCAGACCGGACTGCCAGTGGAAAGCGTGCCAGTGCCTCGAGGGCTGCAGGCAAAAGGAAGCAGGTTGCTACAGCTTCTTCAGTGCTCCCTGTACGGAGTGCTGATGATGACCTTGTTGAATCCCATGGAACAGGGTGTGCAGCACCCATGGAGGGAACTGAAGTGACACATCATCCAGAAGGAGCCAAAAAGCAGAAAAAGTCATCGGTATCTCCAGAGAGATCGCCTCTGGCAGCTGATGGTGATGAACCAATGCTCTCGGCATCTCAGGAGTCTGCAGTTTCTTCAGTGGATGGAAGTGACATCTCTTTTGGCTCACAGAGGTAAGAGGACAAAAGACTAAACAAAACAGTCAATGGTGCCGGACAGAGATGAGCTAGCAATGTGGCAAACAGAGGTGATTGCCCACGTGGCCTGCAGTGGCCCTGCGACCTCCTTGGGCATGTCCTTTGAAGGTCAACACACTCCTACAAAAGAAATAGGCTTTGTTTTTTCAGTCTAATTCCCAGTGAGCTGTTCTCAGAACACGAAAAGTGCTTGTGAGTGGGTGTAGGCAAGGCCCCAGTCTGGCATGCCTGGTCTCTGCAAGTTAGAGCAACAAGCAGCACTCAGCATTGACCGAGAGCCTGCAGTTAGAGTAGGGAGAGGACGGCACGGCGCTATGTGGCAGAGGCGGCCACAGTATGGCAGCAGTCAGGAGCAAGGAATGCCAGACAGCTCCGGGGCTGGGTGAGCAGGACCAGCGCTGTCACGGCTGGGATGGGGAAGCTTGCAAAACGTGCCATATTTTGCTTCACTCATTTTGTGGGTGCTGGTAGCGGAGTCTGTGATCCTATAGAGGGTCGTCGCAGGGGTTGGCCACCAGGGACTTAGGGAGCTCTGGTCCTGTCCTTGGTGGCCTGTTCTTTCCTTGATCTCTGGTCTACTTGATCTTGCTTGTAGTTCTTTTGTGAATGGATTTGAAGCCTGTGCTTTTGCATCCGAGGAGGAGGAAGAGGAGCTTCCAGTATCTCAGGCAGCAGCTCGGGAGGAAGATAAGCTGGAGGCATTAAGGTGCTACATCCGTTCGAACACAGCCCTGTACAACAAGATTCTCTTTTATGAGCCAATTGAGCTGGCTGCATTGCACGTAGAGCTCAAGCAGAACGGCATTAAAATTTCCAAGGCAAAGCTGCTGGACTTTTTAGATGCTCACTGTATCACATTTACCACAGCTGGAGCCCGGAAAGAGAAGGAACAGAAACGAAAGGGGAAGAAAAAACAGAGGAGACGATACTGAATGGAGCCCACTCCTCCATCCTGAAAATTTTGTACATGGAGGCTTTCCTGATAAGCTGGGAACCCCGTTCCAGGCTGGTGCGAGCGGAGGGGCTGTGGTCGGTGGGTGCGCTGCTCCTCCCTGTGGCCTGCTGTCAGATGACACGCTGGAGAATGGCTCTGATGGATTGCACAAACCTCCAGTCTCTGTCCTGCCTTCAGCACCCGGGTCACCTGGAGCTTCTTTTTTCCCCTCGATTTTCTTCCCGTGCCACCTCTTTTCTTTCCGTTTTTCTAATAGATTTTAGGTCCCCAACTTTTCTTCGTGTTGGTGCTACTAAAGGCAGGTGCTTCCCCCAGTGGCACTTGCCCAGACCTTTTCCCTGGCCTTGGGCTGTGAAATGCGTCACCCTTCAGGTTCCAGTACCCACCTGTAAGAAACTGGTCTCCTTTCCCCTGTGTAAAGCACTGAACGTTTAGACGCCAGTGACTTCAGTCCTCCTTTCTTCAGCATACCATTCACCCTGCGGGTTGTTAAGGCAGGGAGCACTGTGGAAATACCTTTCTTCTGTCCTTGGTTCAATTTGCGATCTCTGGTGAAACTCCTAAATCTGTGCTTCTTAAATGGCTGCAAAACAGCAGAGGTGTTTTTCTGGTCTCTTTGTGATGGCTCCCAAAAGTGCCCTCTGACACCAGGTGTCATGTGAAAGCCCTTTGGATTCGAACACAGAGTCGTGTGTGTTCACTTGCGTGCTGGATCTGCGTTACAGATAGCACCTGCTCCATTTTCCGGGCGCCGTTCCACCGTGTCAGCGTAGCTTCAGTGTGTCCTCGGCAGAGATGGCTTTAAGACAGTATTATACTGACCACTGGATCTCTTCAGTGCTCCTTATAACCTGATCTAAACCCAGTTCTCTGATCGGTCTCATTTCCAAACTGGACTGATCTTAGGTTGTAAACTGTCTGAGACTCCTAGGGAAGTCTTGGACACTAAACTGGCATCTTTTATGCATTTACTTTCACAGCATCTTCTGACTTGTGTCTGTTCCGGCACTTCTGAAGCTGCAGAGTCTCACTGAACAAAATGGACACAACACTTCAGAAAAAGAGGCCAGATTTCTAAACATATTTATATATTTGGAACACATAAATATTTTTTCTATTTTTGATACAGTACATCTTTGGTTTTATTTGATTTATATTATATACAATAAATAATTTGCAAGGTACTTATGATAAACTATAAGTAGCGTCTTATGACAGACTGGGGAGGGGTCCTAAGTGGCAACGTTGGGTCTAGTCGAGAACAGTAGAGTCTGCAGTCTGCGCCTGTACTGGCTGAAACCCTGAGCAGAGAACTGGAGGAAGAGGAGTTGACACAGGCACCCAGCGGCAAGGAAGGGTGGAATGGGAGAGATCACCCGGCAGTGACTGGTGAACGGTGGATTGACTACCTGGAGAGAGATGAGCTGCCTGATTCGTCTGGGCTGCACGGCCCAAAGGTAAGGGAGACTTTGGGGGAAGGTGTTGGGGGCTGCCAGGAGGGTGGGCTGTGGGGAAGGGTCCCATCTGCAGAGCCTCGGAGGGGAGGGCGCTACTGGTGAAGGGGAAATGGGTGACCACTTCTAAACCTCCTCTGTCAGGTGTCACTGTGGCACGTGTAACGGTGCGGGGACCTCCTAGCAAAGCCTTCTACCATGCCTGGTGGAATTTTCAGGAGTTTGGGATAGTTTTCTTCCCTGGCAGTCACGTCACTTTTCCTCCCTCACCTTCTTGTGCAAGAGCTGCCAGAAGATGACTTTGCTATGTGAAAAGGACAAGGCTTAAGTGGCATTCTAGGAAATGTTGTTTCCCTCAGTGTACCATGTATCTCTCTCTCAAGTACACACTTCACACATGGAAAAAGCTTCAGTCCTACCTACCAGTCTTACTATGGGAAAATAAGTAAGATCCTTTTCCAGCTTTTTTTCTCTATTTTTTAGGTAAGACTTATGATGAAGGATTTTATAATCAATTCTTTATTACGTTTTAACTTTCAATGAATGCAGTGTCACAGTTCAGTGGATATAAATCGCAATCATTCGAATAGCATTGTCTCATAAGAAACTATTTAGCATATTATGAAAAAAATCAGAATTTTAGTCACTGAAAGTGTCTCCATCCTCCTCTTTGTCATCCTTAAACCTTGCAACTGGACAGTCTTTGCCTAATGCAGATGATGATTTTAAATACCACATCTGTGCTGTGAGGGTTTGGAGTAACTGCTTTGCAGAGGTTTGCCTCGATGCTTCGTTGTTGCTGCAGCTGACAAAATGGAATGTCTTTTGGAATTCTAAAACTTTTCTCTCATGATGAGAAAAGGATTTAAAATCCTTTACAGCCTTCAAGACCACGAGGACATATCTGACATACACTGCAAATTATCCGAAAGCAATTATGCGTTTGCCTGCTCCATTTATCCATAAGCAAAGTGTGCTTCCCCGAGCTAACGCCGGTGTTGCCATCTGCCAGTGTAATGTGTTGCCAAACAGTTCCATTTGTATGTGTTTCTGTGTTTTCTTACCTTCCTAATGCAGGCTTATTTGTCTTGGAAATACATTGTCATCTTTTTTTTTTTTTTTTCAAATGTGTAGTAACAGCTATGAAAAATATTTTGATGCTTCTGTTTGTTTTAACGCTTCCAAGGCTGCAGAAAAAAAAAAAATCCTTTTCAGCTAAGGTGTTAGTTGTTTTTTAAGTTAAAGAAAGGAGCAGATATGTCACTGGCATTGCACAGAGCTTCTGCCTTACCAAGATGCACCTTGTGAGCTCTGAGGGAGCTTTGGAAAAGACTGCTTCTAAATTCGCTGTGACACTCAGATGGTCTGTGGGATTGATTGTGTTTACTCCTTTTCAGCTACCCCCATGTTGGTTTGTGTATTGTCACATTTCCTGCCTGAAAAAACAGTCTCAGTAGGTTGATTC